TCTCAAGATTTCAAGAATCCAGAAAAGACTTATCAAGCCATACACGACCAGTTAAGAAATTGTCAAGTTCCATTGATCTTCGAATTCAAAGTGATTGTTGATGAGTTGATCGAATCGGCACATAAATATAGCCATTGTTCTGTGCTCGTTGATGATCGTTACGTATTGGGACTTGGTGTTAAGATTAATATGTCACACATATACAAGCAAATAAATGAGAATGATAGTAATGTCATGGCAAAAAATATTTCAACTAAGAGTTGCAAAATATGTGAAGAGGACATTTTTGGAGGATCCTCAATTATAAAGATCTCATGCAAACACATGTTTCATTTAAATTGTATGAAAAATTTGTTTGATAGGAACATAGGTTACCCAGCTTGTAGTCCTATCAATGATGTAGAATCCCAAGTTAATTGTCTAAATAAAATTTTATGGTAAGTCTAAGTGCCCTTTTTCATTTGAATTTATTGGATTGATAAATGAAACATTTTTACTTTTACTGTGATTGTACATATGTTAATTTTTTTTTTCTTTTTTTTTCGGTTGTTAGATTGATAAGATAAGACATAAGTACCTCTAGACTATAATCTAAATTTCAGAAGCACATCTAAACTTAATTAAGGTCCAATTATCTCTGAACTCATTTTTTTAAAATATATTTTTGTGCACTTTTTATGCTGACGTGACACCTTCAACCACCCAAGTTGTTGTGTTTGTATAAACACGCCTGCCACGTGTGTAAATATTTTTTAAAGTTTGACTAGGTTTAATCTAACAAAAATGCATTTTTTACCTCTTGAATTGTTAGTGTCTGAAAGGATATTAATTACTATCTTAAGTAGGCGTTTAATTATATGATTTGGAAACCTAATTTCAAGTTTTTTTAAAATTAGTGTTTGTTTAAGAAATCTGTACAAAAATTCTACTTTAAATCACGTGGAATGATCTAATCAAAGAGCAGAGTAAATATATTACTTAGTTAATATGCGTAAATACATTATTACAGGGAAGTGACAACTGTTATTGATTTATTGGACCAACTCATCTCGCTCGTTTTTCTCCATATTTTAGTGTAGCAAAATACATATATCTAGGTGTATTTGATCTTCCTCAATTTTTGATAGAAAACTTTTAATAAGTGTAAGATACGTAATTATTTTTGAAAGTATAGGTAGATTTTAGTATATATAGTATAGAATATGTGTCTAATAAAATAGTTTTCCCAGTAATCATTTCCCAAGTAGATCTAAATTAAAACTAAACACCAATTAATATGAATATTATATAAAATACTTATATTAATCATTATTTCTTAAGAAACGTGCAAACTTAACGGAGGAGTAATTATGAATACAAGAAATATTCCTTGGAACAAACAATTAGACTCATAATGCTAAGAATTTACAAAAGATGTAGAAGAATTCTCTTATCTAATTACATGTCTAAGCTTTTAGTTACCAAAATAAAGAGAGAACATTTCATGCACAAATAAAATTGACTCATGAACGTTATATTTGTTTTGTTGACACTTTTTTATTTTATCAATCATAAAGCAAATTATTGGACAAGATATCTAGTATATTTTTTTATAAAATATACACACCCCTTCCGTCACACAAGAGTCAAAGTATTTAAATATCGCGATGTGAATTTGCATATGGGTTTTAAAATGTATTTAAAAGAAATTTAACATATTTAAAAAAAATCTGAAAAATCGTATAATAATAGTCGAATTAAAGAAAAGAATTAATACATAAAAAGTAGAAGATATAAGGACCAGATGTAGTACTATACAAATTAAAAGCTAGTAAATTATATGAATTTTAAATATCATAAGTTAAAACTTTGGTATAAGAATTAGCAAGGGAAGCCATCATGCACCCAAACTTTAAGACATGAAAAAAAGAAGACGGAAAAGGTACAATATGATATGTAAAGAGACAAGGATCTGGAGAAGGAATTGACTTTTCATATATTCTCAAACTTTAATATTACCCATATTTGTAGCCACATTCAATATAGTGTCACCCCATATCCTAGTTCAAACCTCACTTCACATTTTGGGGATGGAATTTTCTTAGAAAAACAATGTTATATATAGGAATGTATGTTGTGACAAACTAAACAAACAAGTAGGAATGCAAGCTAGAGTACTGCTAGATAGGTGGAGATGATTAACAAAAATGGTTTTCAAGTCTATCAAGGTGTTCCCTAGAGTTCCCTTGACCGCTTCATTAGGGCTTACTTGTTGTTTGATGCCCTGCTGAAGTGTTTGGGGGAACTCCTGGGCTCACTTTGAAATTTTACACAAACAAATATAAGTGTGAGAGTACTGGTTGTGGATAATGAACACAATAGTTTATGTATAAATCTATCAAGGTGTTCCCTAAAGTTCCCTTGACCACTTCATGAGGGCTTACTTTGTTGACTTTATTTTAGCTGTATAATTATCCATTTTGAGCTACATTGTATACTCATTGGAAGAAAAAATTGCACAATAAAAGAAATTCAAAAAATCAG